CTTCTCCCCGTCGAGGAGACGGTGGATAATGCGTTGAAATCCCAGGGTGTACTTTTTTATTTTCCATCAGACTGCAGGCGAATAATAATAAACGCGGATGTTTCGAGTGTTATGCTCGGCAACAATCACGCAGAGATTCTATTTCGAGCAAACAACACGTTGTGAATTCGTTTTCGAGCTTAGCGACCTCCATCCGACACGGAAACTATTTTCCCCCTCCCCCTCTCTTTCTATCTTTTTCTTTCCTTTTTTATTTTTTATTTTATTTTATTTTATTTTATTTTATTTTATTTTTTTTTTTTATTTTTAATGGATTTCGCGTGTTGATAGAAGGTTTTACTAGGATCGTGAAATCGATTGAAATTGTTCGTTTAAGGATCTGATTCGTTCCGTTGATCGAGGACGAGGACGATTTTTAAAAAAAAATTGAGCGTTAATTCTCGTAATTATTATTAATCGCGTTAGGATTCTATATATTGCACGTCTTCCATAATTAACGCTAAAATTATCCGCTTGTTAGTAATCTATGTATCTATTTTATCTCAGATAAACAGGGATTGTAATTAAAGCGATGTGTCGCGAGAATAAATAGGTACGGGTAATTACAAGTTTCTATCTCGATAAATTTACAATATTAATTTTGTCGAAAACATTTTCGCGTTTTCGATAATGATCGTAAAACAAAACAAAAAAAAAAAAAAAAAAGATGGAAAAAAATACGAAATCCGTCATTTTGACGGGTTAAATTTCGAATTTCCATTTCGAGTTTCCATTTATTGCAATTGAAATCGTCAATTGAACGCACCACGCATCCACGAATCATCTTATATCATAATAAATATATTTCGCGAATTCGTCTCGGAGCGATTTTGTGCTTTCCAAAAAAAAAAAAAAAAAAAAAGAAATTGGAGGAAAATTTGGTTAAAAGCGAAATTCGTATTTTTAGGAAAAGTCAAAAGCAACAATCAGTTTTCTAATCCGTGATGATACTCCAATTATACCGATGGAATCGCGTTTCCCGTGGCTTAATAATCGAAAATTTCTAATTAGAAGGGAGCACGCGAGCTTTTAACGTTTAATTCGAGGGAAATCGGCGCCGACTGCTCGCAATTAACCCTCGTATTTATATCCGTGAAAGGCGCACGTGCGACCACGTGTAAATGGAACGAATCCCCGATACCGATATTCCATTTCGAATCGCGTTTTTCCTTATCTCGCCCATTTTCTTCCCTTATTTCTCGAAGGAACTGAAAATGCCTCGGTCATTTCTCGTGCCTGCGTCGTTTAATTCCCCCTTGTGCGTATCACTTTTCGATCGAGCACACAATTTCGATCGAGTAAATAAAGTATTAATCAAAATTCGGTTCGATAAATTTCATTTTATATCCGATGTTATAAATACGGCGATGCCCCACTTTTTGTTACGTAAACTCGATGTTATCGAGACTCGGAGAGTAATCTTAACGGGTTATGACGTAACTGTATTTATCACTTACGAGAAATTAACTCGTACTAGTTTTAGTTCACGGGCCAGTTGGCGTTTTAAAGCTTGTACGAAAAATATAGGAATTTCTCAGACTTCGTGACCGATGGATTACGTAAATTAAAATTATCACAAGTGATTGTTACTTTTTTTTTTTTTTTTACATCGTACAAAGACGAAGATTATTCCATTTCCATTTCGATAACTCCAAAGTCTAATCCTCGATCGAATATCTTCTTATTCCACGTTTTAAGTTTTCTTCCAATTCTTGCCTTGGAAAAGAAAAAAAAAAAGAAATTTCCCTCGAAACAATAACCACTTATTGTCTATCGCGAAGCCACGTTACAGAAAATCGTCCGTCCAACGCGTTACACGGGGAAGAGGGCATTTTCGTGGAAATTGCTCGCGTTAATGTCTCCGTGAGGGGGGATAGATTTATCGTTTATCCATACCCATACCTCCTCCTCCTCCTCCCACGCTCTTACGAAACGATTGGAAAACGGTGTCGTTCCAGGGTGAAATCTTTGATCTGAATGGCCTCTTGCATCCGGAGAGAACGAAACGTAAGAACGAAACGTCCCGTCGTAACTCTCTTTCCGCGAATCGATGCGCCGTTCAAATTCCACCATTCCTGTTCCTGACCCTCCCCCTCCCCTGATAATAAAGATAGGCATTCGCGTTTTTCCTCGGGGATGAGATAAAACCAGAAGCCTTTCTTTCGCTGGAGATTCCTTCAGCCTACTCTTCCGTCTCGTTGCGTTTCGTGTCGGTCGAAGCGACACGAAATGTCGCTTCTTCGTAGGACAGGGCGATAACATCTCGTTTCCCTCGCGTCAACATCGATCGAACCTTTTCTCTATTTAAATCTTCCCCTCGAAACGCGACCAAGACACGGTTTGAAATTTCTCAAATTTCTCAAAGAGAACTGGCAAGAGAACTATCTCGTAAAATGATGAACTGGAAACGGTCAAACGAGGGAACGAGAAGTTGGCGCCCCGTAAACGATCGGGCAACCGGCCGGTTTCGCGCGATTCCTGTTATAACCGATTCCGCGGCGCGAATATTCGGCTTCCCTTTTTGCCGAACTTAATGCAGGTCGGGGCGAGATATTAAATTATGCGGTCTTGTTCGCGTAAGGGGCGAACCTTTACGATCCTCTCTCTCTCTCTCTCTCTCTCTCTCTCTCTCTCTCTCTCTCTCTCTCTCTCTCTCTCTCTCGTGTTCAGCGCGGCACCACCCCCCACCGCCTCGCCTTTATGACGCGACTTTCGCGATAACTGTAATGGCCACTCTCGCAACACGAAGCACGCCATTACCGTCACTCTATTTCACAGTTGATATCTCTCCGCCACGGCCACTCCCCCCACGAAGCGACCCCTTAAAGGAACCACCTTGACCCACCTTGCATCCTTGGCATCCTTGGGTGTGTATGTGTGTGTGTGTGTGTGCCACCCATCGTATAGGGAATTCGATAAAAAGTATGCAGCTAGCTCTATTATTATTATTATTATTATTATTATTATTATTATTATTATTATTATTATTATTATTATTATTATTATTATTATTATTATTATTTTTATTATACCATAAGACGGTGATTTATTTTTAGACCGATACGAATGGGAGGTTTGATGGTTCCTCCTGGGGCGGGGCGGTGATGGTTTTTACCGCGATGGACGATTCGATTTTTCCCTCGTTCGTTCGCTCGCCGAAGAATAGATTTCTCTCGTTCACTCTGTTTCTTATTATGTACCGCCTTCGAGGTATAATTGTTCGTATCACGTCGTTTCCAACGTTGTTTCCTAAAGGATAGCGATACGAAGAAATATTTTCTATTTACACGGAGGCGGATACTTTTTATTTATCGGAATAACTCCTCTTGATGGTTACGAGAATTATAGCGAATGTATTCTATTCCTCTTTATTGACTCGATTTTCGTACGAGAGAGTGAACGATTCGTTTGATTTAAAGTATCATCGCTTCACGAATAAATTAATTAAAATAAACTCTTTGCGCTTAAGAGTAAGGTATGTAATATATCAAAATATAAATGTTTTTGCGCGTTGATTTGTGCGCGAAATCATTTCAGTTGTAAGAAATTTAAAATCGAACGATTGCTCGAGTTGTTGCTGTTCGTGCTGTGTGATTTATGCTGGATTAATAAGAGCGCAATTTATTGATTCGCGAATAACTAGTCCCTTTATCTCTTCATCTTTAATATATATGAAATGTATAAAATCATTTTACGTTACCTCATAGAGACACTTATCACTTGGACCGAGAAAGGATTCGATCGAGCGGGAAGGATCGATATAAATCTCGAGTTGTTATTTCGAGAGAAAAAGGGTTAATCCTTCGCCCAAATGATTTATATTAGATCTCGTGATCTACGATTAATAAGAGCGCAATATTATTCGCGAATAATTAGTCTCTTTATCTCTTCATCACTTGGATCGAGAAAGGATTCGATCGAGCGGGAAGGATCGATACAAATCTCGAGTTGTTGCTTCGGCCGAGAGAAAAAGGGTTAACTCTTGGCGCTCGAGAGCCGAGTGATTTATATTAGATCTCGTAATAAATACGATTAATAAGAGCGCAGTATTGATTAACTAGTCTCTTTATCTCTTCATTAGGAAATGTATAACACCATTTTAAGTTACCTCATTATTTCGACCGAGAAAGGATTCGATCGGGAAGGATCGATATAAATCTCGAGTTGTGACTTTCTTTCGACCGAAAGAAAAAAGGTAATCCTTCGCCCAAGTGATTTATATTAGATCTCGTAATCTATCGCAATATTATTCGCGAATAATTAGTCCCTTTATCTCTTCATCACTTGGACCCAGAAAGGATTCGATCGAGCGGGAAAGATCGATATAAATCTCGAGTTGTTGCTTCGGTCGAGAGAAAAAGGCTTAACCCTTTGCACAAGTGATTTATATTAAATCTCGTAATAAATACGATTAATAAGAGCGCAATATTATTCGCGAATAATTAGTCTCTTTATCTCTTCATCACTTGGACCGAGAAAGGAATCGATCGAGCGGGAAGGATCGATATAAATCTCGAGTTGACTTTCTCTCGACCGAAAGAAAAAAGATAATCTTTCGCCCAAGTGATTTATATTAGATCTCGTAATCTATCGCAATATTATTCGCGAATAATTAGTCCCTTTATCTCTTCATCACTTGGACCGAGAAAGAATCCCATCGAGCGGGAAAGATCGATATAAATCTCGAGTTGTTGCTTCGGTCGAGAGAAAAAGGCTCTTAACCCTTTGCACAAGTGATTTATATTAGATATAGATTCTCGTAATCTACGATTAATAAGAGCGCAATATTATTCGCGAATAATTAGTCCCTTTATCTCTTCATCACTTGGACCGAGAAAGAATCCCGATCGAGCGATACAAATCGATAAAACTTTTGCAAACACCTAACAAACTTCGACGACTTGGAAAGACAAAATTCCCTTCAATTCTCTAACTCGTTCCCGTCTGCGTTTATTTTGCAGAGCGCGGCGCGGCGGAATCGAAGGGCTGACGAAGGGGCGTCCAGACTCTCGGCATCCGCAAGACGCAAGATCGGAGAGGATCTTGATCGAGGATAAGAAGCCAACGGCGAGCTTGTCACATTTGGTGGACATCGATCGAATCTGTTCCCGTTTCCCGCGCGAAATTCCAAGCTTGCCCTCGCGTCTCGCGTTCGAGGGGGAACTCTGGACGAGAGGAGATGTCACGGAAGCGGTTCCACGGAGGAGACGACGCGTTCGAACCGCCAGACATTCGAAGATAGCGAAGGTTCGTCGAGGCCGCGGGGAAGCTCGGGCGTCGAGCTCGATTCCTCGATAAGAGGAGGTGACCGCGAAGATCGGCGATTCAGGGCGCGAGGGGACGAAGGGAGGATCTGGAGCGACCGAGGGAGGATCCCTGGATCCCTTAAGTCGGAGCAAAAGGACAGCCGGCTCGAATACGAGGAGGGGGCGAGAGGGAGGAGGGTTAAATTGCGGAAGAGCGATTCTTTTTTGAGAAGATTGGTGAGAAGCTCGAGGGACAATATCGCGGAAGGGTGCGAGAGATTGGTGAGGAATATCCAGAAGAGTCCTCTCCCCGTTCCGCGAGGGAATTGGAAATTGTTGTCGAGCGACGACAAGGAGGAGAGGCCGATACCGCCTCTGAGGAGGAAAAAGTCGAGGAGGAATTTGGAGATCGACCGAATTTCGGGAATTTCGGGTAATCGGCCTCTGCCACCTACCTGCACGAGCATCGACGTTCCCTCGAACGCGTTCGTGGAAATCCGTGTAACCGAGAAGCGGGGCGGGAGGAGCGTCTCGGCGGAGGACGTGGAAGATCTGGTCCGGGCCGAGGAGGGCGATTCAAGACCGTTGGAGCGACGAGCGGCGGTCGGGAGAGGTCGGTCGGAGAGGTCGAGCGAAAGGCTTCTTCTCCGACGCCTTCGACGGGGAAGGTCGTGGTGGAGCGAGGAGAGTTTGGCGCGGCACAAGTCGCGGGTCGGACTGTTGTTCGCTCCCGTCTCTCGGGAGTGGGTGGCCGCGGCCGACTACCGTTGTTGGCCCGCGAGATCGGATCGGATCGGATCGGTGGAGTGGAGGAAGTGGAAAGCGAAACGCTCGCCACCGCCCGACGACTGCCAAGTTGGGGATCGCGGGTCTTGGGGGCTCGAGTCGAGGCGCGATAACGAGCGGCGGAATAACGATAAGGATAAAGCGGAGGCAAGGAGGAAGACACGGATACGAGGCGGCGGCGAAGTGCACGCGCGGCCGTTCACGGCCGCGTCGTTGGTAAAATGCAAAGTTGCGAATTCGGCGGCTGGCAACGGTGGAGACGAGGAGGAGGAGGAGGCGGAGGAGGCGGAGGAGGACGACGAGGAGGAGACGCGAGGCCCCGAGTGCAACGCTCCGCGGCGAGGAAGTGAAGAGCAGCGGTTGGTGGTAGCAGTCGGCGACGACAGATCGGTGGACGAAGGGAACTCGTCGATCGTTGCCTCGCGGCGACCTCCTGTCCGCTCGCGCGTCGTGCCTTGCCCTTCCATCCCGACGAGGACAGATCCCGTCCCGACGGGGGACGATGCGCGTTTTCTGGATCTCGTGACGATCCGCGTTGTGAACGAGGATGCTCGGTTGAAGGGGGGCTGTGGCGCGTCGACGAACGAGGGAACAGGTAACAGGGCGAAGAGGAAGGGGGGGAGGGGGAGAAGGGTGGCCGAGGAGTCGAGCGAAGAGGAGCGGAAGGACGATCGGAAGATGAAGTTGGCGGTGAGAATGATCAGGATCCGCGACAAACTGATGCTCGGTTTGAGCGCGTTCGCGATACTGTTCACCGTATTGTTGGTGATGGACCTTCAGATGGATCTTGGATACAGCGGCCACCATCTGGTGCCGAGCCACGGCCGCGTCCGCGTCGGGGACGACCCGAACGCGGACACCATTTACAACAACTTTCGACGCAAGTTTTTGCAAAGATTGAACGCCAGCAAGGAGCAAACGAGCGGCGACACGTCCGCCACGACCCAGAACAGTGGGGGGAGGGAGGGTGGTGGCGAGGAGGGGGGGAGGAGGGACTCGAGGACCGAGAAAACGGAGGTGCACGACAGTTTTCCGGATTTAGTGGACCTCGTGGTGAAGGGTTACGGTGTTAGCGTGTACGAGGGTGTGGCTAGGATCAGCGGGGAGGATCGCTCGGACAATCCCACGCTCGGAGAGTTGAAGAAGATCGGCCCCAAGTGAGTATATATATATATATTTATATGAGTATATTATTTGGTAACCGATAATCGTCGAATAATTATATAGAAATATAAATTGGAGCAGAACGCACGAACTGGTCCGAATTCGCGCACGAATAATTATCATTGGACGATATATACCGTTCTACTAATTATCTTGGCCAATTGGCTCGCTCGTTTTATCGATCGCGCGTCGTTACGTTATACTTGGAGGATGGCGAAACGAATCGAAGGGTTATCGATTCTCGTCAATCATTGACAAACGTTATTACGAAGCGAGTGAATCGAAAACACGAAATAGATTAAAACGTTTTCTTAAACGGCGCAAACTTTAAACGATCACGTGCAATCCGCGGATCGCTGATGAAAATAGAATCGCGCAGTAGCGCGTACTTGCATACGATTTCGTTATCGGAACGACCAGTTTATCGAGCTTATTATTATTATTATTATTTTTTTTTTTTGTTTACACGATAACCGATTTCTTCGTTTCCTTCCGTTTTTTTTTCCCGCTTCTCCATCCAACGAAATCCACCGTCGCTCGTTGATACGACGAAGATGTATAATAATAATAATAACAACAACAAAATCGAAGATAAGAGAGAAATTTCGAGAGAGCGAGAACGAGCGGTGACATCTAATTAACCGAGAAACAGCGTGGAAAGTGGCAAGTTTAAATCTCGCACGGTGTTCGCCCTCCATCGAAATCTCCTAAACCGATTTTCAAACAGAAACTCGTGTAGTTCTCCCGTATCTCCCCGTCCAACCGGGCGGAAAGTACCGAGAAAGAAAAGCAATTAGTCGAATCGTTCGAAACGAAGCGGGAGAAAAAAAAAAAAAAAAAAATCTCGATCCAACTTGCAACTAGAGATTTTCCACGGAAGAAACGTTCCATCGATTTTGAAAATTGCTTTTTTTCTTTTTCTTTTTCTTTTTTTTTTTTTTAAGTCCCTCGTTTGTTCCATCATTATCCAAACGCGTCGCGTTTGATGGATGGTGATGGTAATGGCGACGACGATGATAATGATGATAATGATGATGATGATGGCGTGGTATGGTGTATAGGCATCGATCCGCGAGTCGATGAAATTAAGAGTGTTATTACTGTCGTAATAGACTGATAAGAGGCGCGACTGGTGATATCTGGTTCGTGTTGTTCCCTCTTCGACCTCCAGTCTCGTTCTCGTTACCCGGCGAAATAACGCGTAGAACGAAATTGATGGACGAGGATAGAGGCCGCTTACGCAATTCGGGCCCCCGTGAACCCGCGTTCGACGACGCGATATTCTTTTTTCGCGAGCAAAAAGAAAGAAAAACTTGAACTTGTACTTCCCTCTCGTTGATCGATTTTAATTCCATCGTGGATCCAATTGGAAATTAGGGATTCGATTAGAGATATAAAGAAAAGGAATAAATTTGGAATTTTTTAACGGATTTTTAACGCGAGAAGGTGAAGAAAGAAAGAAAGAAAGAAAGAAAGAAAGAAAGAAAGAAAGAAAAAAATAAAAATGATTGAATCTCGAGGTTGAATCGTTTCCGTTGACCCCTTCGAATGCTAATCTATTCCGGTTAAGCGATTTTATTGTCCGACAAGCAAATATCAGTCACGTTGCCATATCGCAATGGTTAGAATCCACTTACACGCTACGCGAGCGTGTGCATCGATACACGCACATCGAGGCCACGTGTCGTCCCCCCGTGCAAGCAGATTGTCCAATGGCAAACGTAATTATACCGATGATAGAAGGAATTCGCGTGATTCACGATTCTCTGTGTATGTGTGTACGTTCGTGTGCTCGGATGCGTCCTTGATTAAGTTTTTCGAAAATTGCTAGAAAATCCGTTTCTGGTCGCGAAAATTATTCTCGATCGATTTTTGATGATTTTTCGTTCGTTTAAAATTATCCGAAATACGAATTATTGTAATTGGAATCGAACGAGAAAAATAATAGTTCAATGGAATTTCTTAAGGGAATCGATCCTCGATTAACAATACAATTGATCGATAATTAAATGGGAAGTAATTTTTATGGAAGATCGTGTCTCTGTCGATTGAACGTTTTTCTTTTTTCCTTTTTTTTTCCCTCCCCCGATCGAAACACGGAGCATTTACGACCGTGTGAATTTTCTCTTTTGTTCTTCTCTTTTTTTTTTTTCCCTCCCCTCTTTCCTTTCCTTCCTCTCGATGTTCCTTTTCATCGAAGCCTAATTCGTCCCTCTGGCGAGAAGAGCGACTAATTGTCACGAACAATGCAACGCGTAGCCAATCGACGATTCGTTTTCGTCCGCTAATTTGCCAAATGGTCGATCGTTTCCTCCTTCTCCCCTCCCCCAATTTTCTCCATAGCGTGTAGTAATTGGAACTCTTCCAGATTTTCCTCATTGGCCGCAAATTCAATTCCATGGTTTTTCGTTTGTTGTACATTGATTGAAAATCCATTCCATATAAAAAATTCCATATAAAATTCTACGCTCTTCGACCGAGGAAATCATTCGCGCAAGTTGTTCTCCGAAAACAGGAAGATACTCGAATAAGAAAATGAATAAGAAAATCGTTTTAACGTCAATAATCGATAAAAAAATAGAAACTTTTCTGCCCTTTATTCGAAATGAAACTCGTAACTGTAAAAAAAAAAAGAGAAAAGAAACCCCTATCTGAGCTGACCATAAAAGAAAGAAAAGAAACAAAGCAGCGAGAAGGGTGCATCGCCACACACGGCTAAGACTGCATTTTTCATTGCGTTTCCCCCGGTCTGGAATCGATCTGGAAGGAAAAGTAGTATCCGTACATGCTCTTTGTGCCTTGTTGTTGTGTATTACCGTGCATCTGGAAACAAGGAACGCCATTTCCACGATGCGAGCTTCCACGTCCTTGCCTACCTACCTACCTACCTACCTATCTAAACCAGCAGCCAACTCTAGTGACCCCTAGAGTCTAGGGAATAAAGCATTGTTCCGCGTCGACAATGCCCTAATGTCTCGGTACGGGTTCTCAATAACTGTGAGCTACCTGTGTGCGTGCGTACACACGCGAACCAAGCTTGATACAAGCTCGAGCATTGGATATACCCTCGACAAACACGATACTTATTCAAAGAGGAGGAGGAGGAGGAGGGGGAGAAGGAATCCCTTCCTCTCGAAACTCCTCGAATAAGGGCAAGTTTCGGTCCTTCCTGGGTGCTTATTTCGATCGAAGGACGAGGACGTTGCTCGAGTTTCACCTGTTTCCCTGTGACAGGTGTTGGCGCGCACGGAATACCTTCTACTAAGCCACGTTGCAAAATCTCTCCTCGACGCGGTTTCGAGAACGGCAGATATCAGATCGAGATCGATTAATATTTGAAAGGAGGGGGAGGTGTTCGACGAGTGTAATAACTGGTTTCTGAACTGAAACGAAATACTTTAGATTATTCCGTCTTTTTTACTTTCTCTAATAGATTACTTTTTCCACTCGTCAGGTGAAATACGAAGAGACCCATATCGGTTTCAAAAAAATCTTTGAATAATTTCACGTCTCCTCGTAAATCCTCCTTCAATTCCCATTATCGACTAATTTTCTACTGTTTTTTAAAAACTTCCCCCTCCTCTAAAATTCCATCCTCTGGAATTCAACTCGAAGAGAGAGCAAGAGAGAAAGAGACACACACCGTTCCGGGCAAAATTATCACCGACGTGAATCACCAGAAAATAGGTAGGAGGAGGGGGGGGGCATAGAGGTTACTTCCTGTCACCTGAATTCACGTCTGGCTACTCGACCGAGTTACGGACGATGAATTATTTCCGAGCAAACATCCGGCTTCCCTCCCCCTTTCCCCACCTTTGTCATCTTCGCCCTTCCTCGAGTCCACCTCCTCGAGTCACCGCGAATCTTCGCCCCCTCTCGAAAATTCCGTCGATGAAACGAGGCACAACAACACCCAATAACGCGCCGTCACGCGTGTTTACCCGTCCCCGTAATCGCGTGCACACGATCGCTCCATTATACGCGCACGTGTGTATAAATGCATCGATAATAACCGTGTGCGTATCGCGCGCGTTTGCGTTGGACCGGCGTAAGAATTGCTTTTGTGCCGCGGTTTGTGACGCGGGGAATCGATCGATCGATCGATCGATCGATCGAGGTAATAATCGACGTAGAAGATCGAACGAACGAATTTCTCCTCGAGAGAGAGGGAGAGGAAGAGAGAGAGAGAGAGAGAGAGAGAGGCGTTTGTTATTCCCGTGGCGCATTGTTCGCGCAAGGTACATGACAGATGTTTGCGCGGCTCCATTCGTGGATGGTACGTGGATGGCGTGCAATTACCGGTCTCTCCATGTCCTCGTTATCGTTTCCGCTCCTTCCGGAAGACGATTCTCTTGTCTTGGGGAGAGGGGGAGGGGGTAATTAATGGTGATAGGGATGGTGGAAGTTTGGTTATTGTGAAATACTTAAGGGGAGGAATTTTATTTCAACGCGATGGATTGAAAAAAAAAAAAAAAGGAAAAGGGTTTAATTAGTAAATGGAACGTGGAATATTATTTATAACGTTGGTCCCAACGGGGTTCGCGTTCATTCGTGTCAGAGCGTGATATCGGATAAAATTGTGTTGTAACAATGGTTGTAAAAGAATTAGGTTGAGGTGTGGAATATGGGATGTTGTTCCCAATTTTAAAAGAAGGGGATGAAACGGGATACGATTCTGATATTCTTGTATCGATTTCGTAGATTTTTTTTTATAAATATCGCTTCGAATACGATTCGAGTAATTTTCCCGCATCGTCCCGCGCGATAAGTTTAATTTTCGCGAATTTAATTTTGCTCGCGTGACTGTGAGAATGACTCAACGTTAGAGATAAAACGAGTCCTGAGTCACTTCTTCTCTGAGTCATTTCTTCGCAAAACATAACGATATTCTAAACAAAACGTGCATAGATCGCAAGCGTGATCAGCAGACGACTTGGATATGGATATCGATATCCGGAAATACCGGTTGTATACGGCGTAACATCGAGCTGGG